AAATCAGTTTTACGACTTCAATTTTGTGCGTAGAACGTAGGCATTGTGTATGCCACCTCAACTCAGCTGTCTTGTCGTAACTTCACGTGATCATGGCTGATTAATGAATAATCTGAGGAGAGTGATACCGCTATGTTTGACTCGTGCATGGGCAAGTTCTCGCAGTGGGGCGACGATAGTCGCAAGCAGATCGCCGAAAAGGTGAAACAATCGACGGCGACGTGGAAGATCGTCAACAGCCACTACAGTCCGTTCAACCACTACACGGAGCAGAACATGAACAAGTGGTTCGATGTCCTGCGCGGCTCTGGTGTCCACGTGTGGCTGAACGGCCACACTCACGGCGAGAAGCACGACTACTCTCAGTCGTTGGGCATCCACTTCATTGAAAACGGTGCTGGCGGTGGTATCCAGAAGGAGTCGGCTAGTGGAATTCCGGCGTACGCGGCTCCGTTCGTCCAGAACAAGTGGGCGTATGGCAGCGATGAGTACGGCTTCATGTCGCTTCAAGCGTCGAAGGACTGGATCAAGCTGCAGTACCACACGGCGGACAAGTCGTGGCAGTATGGAGAGACCTTCAACAGCACGACGGTCGGTGGCGTGGAAACCAAGCACTGCTGGTACATTCCGTCTGACGGCACGGAAGGCAAGGGTTGCTAATTGCGTGGCTTTGCTTCGTCGGTATGACAACGATAAACCTGTAGAATGAGGAGGTTTTAGATGTATGGTAACCACAAATAACCCTCAGAATTCCAGTGCGTTTTGTAAAATTTAAGTGCTTCACAATCTTGTAATTTTAAAAATCTGTACACGTACTTAAAAAATACTAATAGAAGCCATCGGTATGCATTCTTTGGAACCTCACACAGAGATCTAGCTTACTCTAACCTAGCGTTAAATCATACATATTTTAGCACATTGTAGTCTCAAAATCATTAAACAGATTCACTGTAAATGCAAATATAGTTTTAAGTTGGTTGTCAAATTGCCTTCGTAATCGTGCCCCCTTCCCTCCCCTTTAACCCTTGGAGGGGAG